GATACTGAGTTTTTTCTAATAATGGGTTCGATCCATGGAATTGTTGGTTTGATGATACATTGAGGTTTATTCACTGAAGTTTTGTACTGATATGGCTTTAAAAGAAGGTTACTTTGTGTATATTTAAAACTCTCTGATTCTGGTGAATTATATGGGAATGAGAAACAGAAGAACTGGTATTCACAGGTGAATTCTTAAGAAGGCAAAGTACTCAGTAATAACACCGACCAGACTGCCCCCACCTGCATGATGCTAAACATCTGGATGCCTGTTGTTTTATTGTGTGTATTTTATTTTTAATATATTAACTTCTGTGGATTCATTTAAAGTGTGCTCAAAAGTAACACTGTCAAAACCACTAAAATGTATTTAAAAAATTGTAGACTAGAATAAAATTGTTACTTGGATTCGTTCCACTGTCTCTAAATTAGATGACTGAAAATGACAATGCATTTTTGAGAGCTCGAGCTCATCTAGCATTTGTAATTTGTATACTAGCCTTTCTGTTTTTGGTTTTTATTTGAAAAGTCAGGATGAGAAGAAAAACAAGTGTGCCCTGTCATCTAGAGCTCTTTAATAATTGGAATGCCAGAGCCAGCTCAAACATTAATCAACACATTTTCAGTTTAAAATATGCTAGTCAGGGCCTAAAGATTATACATTTTATAAATGATGTATCTTTACCAAGAGAAGCCTTTTGATTTAGCTTATATAATACACTGTAGAGCTGAGGTTACATGCTTTTTTATTACCAACCAGATATGCATCATATTGCAAACCTAACAACTCTGAGTGTTAAATGTCATTTTTTCTCCTCTCACACATGGGAAATTGAGTCAGGGAGCTGAGACAGAAACCCAGGTCTAAGCAGTTCCAAAGCCGCATTCACCATACACCATTGCATTTTCACAGTCAGCAAAAGCAAACAAATAAAAAAAAAAAAACTTGGTCTGAAAATTCATTAGGCATGCACATGGAAAAGAAAACACTATCACACAGTTTAGAACCTCAATAAACCCTCAAGCAACCTGCCGTCAAATCTAATTTTGAAGACTGAGTATCTCAAAGCATGATTATTCCCCAGAATTCTATTTAGTCCATCAAAGTCCAAACCTCACCTATGTCTGCCTACTAAAGGCCAGACCTCTCTAATCAACTGCCCACATGCCCCTGGCACATTTTCCTTAATTTGTCCCAAACTGAGTTCATTATCTTTCCTTATTCCCCCACCAAGCCCATTTCTGTGAAGTTTCCTGTTTTAGTTAATGGCATGACTATAGCCATCCATCCATCCTTGATTTCTGTCACCCACCCACCCACCCAGATCCAACCAGTCAGCCAGAGCTATCACCTCCACCCCAGTCACAACTCTCTGATCTGGTTCCTCACCTCCCTTCTCACTGCAAAGTCCTGAAAAGCTCTAGTTAGCAATCCTCAGACTACTGCAGCCACCACCTCCTTTGTAGCCCCACCACTGGTTATACCCTTTAACTCCCCAATGAGTACCTCCTCCACACTGTCATCTTCCTAAAAGAAAATCTGAGCATGTCTCGCCCCTGCTTTGAAAACATCCACTGACTGTCAGTCTATACTCAGGCCAAACATCTTAGCATGGTCTCCTCCTGATCATCTCTCTCTGACTTAATCCCACAGACACCAGCCCCATAGTGAATTTCACAGTCTTCCCCACAACATGGTACCCTCACGGCGCTTCTGTAATTGCTTTTGTACCTGCTGTTCCATGGCCTGGAGTGCCCTCACCCCAACCCTTCTACCCTGGCAAACATTTGCTCATTCCAAGTCTCCATCAGGTGCCACTTCTGCTGTGCCAGTGGTCCAGGCCCCGTGTAGAGTGAGCTGTGGCCTTCTCTTTGACTCTACAGCACTATTACCCTTTCATGGCCCCTGTCATGTTGCACAGGGATCGAATTTGCTTGTCTGCTCCCTCTGTGGTCCTGGGGCTGACCCCTTTCAAGGCAGTTGCTGAGCTGCCTCCACCTCTGTCCTCAGCTTCCAGCATAGCACTGGGCTCACAGGGGTGCACTGAATGAAGGGAGGGGAGGGTTGGAGGAGAGAGACTGCAAATGAAGTGTTTTTAGGACAGACTATACACCGAGAGCACGAACACCTAGGCAGGTTCTCATCGACTGCCTGAAGCTTCCCTGGCTTTACTGGCTTCCCCAGCTAAGGGTCAGCTAGAACGTTCTTAGCGACCACAGGAAAGTTGATGGGAAATTGGTATGGAAATATTAGTGTGTTCTAAATAAAGGAAAATCCAAGCTTGTTTATTGAACGACCTTCCAGAGAACCAACTATCAAGAATTTCTAAGCCTGGAAAATTTTTTTACCCGCCCTGCTTCCCTCTGGTCTTTTTTCCTGAAAATAATGATAAAATAAACAGCATTCAGTTCTGCAGCCCTGGAGTCTTAAGGCAAATTATACTCAAAATAAAACAACTTTAACCTAATTTTAAATATTATTCCATATATTTTTACTCTGAAAATACATGAAACACTTTGGAAAATAGAGAACAGAAAACTTAAAATGACCCAGAGTTCACTCATCCCAACGCATTTTCATGTATCTCTTATTGATCTTTTTCCCCCTATTTGTTTTCTATTTTATATAGTTGTAAATATGCCATACATGTAATTTTATTTACTGCTCTTTTTCTCATTTATTTTGTCATAAGTGTTTAAAAATAATGTATAAGTTTTATAGCCAGAATTTTCAGTGACTCCATCATGTTTCTAGACTATTGGACATGCAGCCTATTTTGCTTAATCATTCACTTAATTTTGGATTTTTAGATTGTTTTTTAATTTTTTGTTATCATAAACAGTGCTACAGTAAACACTGCAGCATAGCTTTGTCCATATTTATGACTGGGTCTTTGAGGTAATAATAAACAATTGAGAGTTCCCTCTGTACTGGGTACTGTGCACTGCGCTAGTTTACATGGGTTATCTCATGTAATCTTTACAAGAAACCTTATGGGCAGATAATTTTATTGTCCCATTTTACTGACAAGGAAACAAGCACAGCTGGAGTTTTCTTGTATAAGGCAAGTGGCAGAGCGAGATTGAACCCAGGCAGCCTGGAGTCTATTTTTGTTTTCAGGAGTGCAATTCCTGGGTCAAAGGTCTAGAAATGGGTTTACCCAAAGGAAGACCTTTCAAAAGAACCCAGCTCATTCCAAACCTCCATGTTTTTAGTTGGTGTCTTTAGGTTATGTCCACTCTTCTCATGTGCCAGTTAGATGCAAAATACAACAGGAAGATCTCCAAAGGAAACTGACCTCGAAGAGGGTGGTTCACCTCCCCACTTGTGAAGCAAAATAGAGTTTCCCAAGAGGACTCGAGGAATGTGTTTCATTTCACAAGGTTAGAATTACTGCATTCATGTCTTTCTGCTGCTTTTGCTATTTTAAACAGACAGTGCCAACATGTTCTTATGTTCTATGCCATTCCCACCTACATCCTTGCAATGTATCGCTGGTGTTATTTTTTCAAGAAACAGTGCACCCTAGATGCTTTGCAAGAGGAGTTAAGCTCTCCTCCTCAGAGGCCTGCTCAACACAACAGAACATGCTCATTCTCCTATACAGCTCATTATCCTTCCGACTTTCACCGCAATCAGAAGTTGTTAAGTCAAAATAGACCAGCCGAGCCTAACGGGTCCTTGGGAAAATCTGCTTTAGAGCCTTACCTTATCTCCTGGGAGAGGTCACAGGTCCTTTTGCCATCTGTGCCAGGCCAAATTAGTACACCTGATCAAATGTGTCAGTCTCTGCAAAAGACAGGGAAATTGATTAAAAGGATTTGGTTCTCTTAAAATCACAAATGTTTTTTGAATCTTGCCTGGGGACTGCACGACGAGTTGGTGTGACATCAGTCATTCTATTGCAGATGGGCGGGGTAAGCTTAGGCAAGTTACTTATCACCTTTGAGCCTCAGTTCCCATCTGCGAAAGGGATCTAGCACCTCCCTCAGAGTGCAGCCATAAGGATTAAATAATGTACCAGAAGTGTCTGGTTTATGCATTCTGGCATATGATTGGCACTAGATAAATGTTAGCTTCTTTTCCACATGGCTAAGCTTTTAAAATTGTGGTTATAGCCCACCTGCAGAAATTTTTCATACAGGAACAACCTGAAGGAACAGTTTAGTAGCACTCTTTAAAAAATCTTGTGTGTTTTTCTAGCTCGTAAAAGTGGTCCTGGATCAAACCATGGCCAAGGCTACACTGAAGCATGTGGTCACTTTAGGCTTCCTTAAATGACTTTTGTAACAAATGTTCTTTAGTCAGTATTTCCTGAGACAGAGGCTGAGACTACATGGAGAAAGGGTGGGAGAGAAGGAAGCTGAGCAGTTCTCTGTTCGGACCCAGATGGGAACGTGCACACTCCACTCAGACAAGCTGAACGCCTTCAGTGGACTGGACCTGCACTGTGGTCAGCAATTCCATCGCCATCTGTCATCACATGAACACGCCTCTTGCAGTACTCACCCACCAGACCAACCCTTAGTGGCTTATTGGGGTCCCTTAGTCACACATTCATTCAGAAAATGTTTATTGAGTATTACGTATGTGCCAGGACTGGTCTAGTAGGCATTGAGCATGCTGTTATGAAAAACAAAATTTAAGGACAAAACCCCTGCCTGTTGCTCAGACGATTCCCTGCCGTAATCTAGATTTGAGGCCTTGGTGAGTTTTTGCCGATTGTTTTTTCAGCACTACCCAGGTGCCTGTGGCCCGTGAATGTGACAGTATGTACAGGCAAGCAGAAAGCGATGCCGATTTAACTAGCTTTTCACCAGGGGAGCCTTACTTCGTGCAATAGATTTGTGTCTGCTGGGCCAGGTTCACATTTCCTGTCTGAAAGCGGTTCTTGCTTTGGAGAGCACGGAAGGAGCTCATGATGTAAAGGAATCTGGTGGTGAACTCTGCCCCCAAATGTGTGATCTTCTACATGAGATGATGCAACCCTCGACCTCAGCAGCACTTTTGTTCACATGCACCAGGTTCCTTTGAAGCATGGTCTCCCTAGACTCCCGAGCGAGGGATAATAATGAGAAACACCTGTCAGTGCCGAGAGGTTTTTTTGTTGTTGTTGTTGTTGTTGTTGTTGTTGTTGTTGTTGTCATTTCCCCCTTCTTGTTGTTGACAGTGCCTGAGCTTCCTATAGCCCCTCCATCGCTCGCCCCACCCCGTCCTGAGGTGTCATACATGTGTTAGTGGCTGGGGATACAATACCAAGTAAGGTAAGTCTCTGCCTTCCAGGCTCCTACAGTCTCTTGGGGGAAAAGGACTTGGGAACGAATTAGCAATTATAATGCAGCATAATCACAGTGTTCGTACTGGATGCTATTATTGGAGGAAGGCATGGTTAACTCCGCCCAGGGGAGTCAGGAGGCCTCCCCGCAGCGAGAGAGGAATTACTAGGGAGACTAGGCAGTGGGTAAGAGACAGGGTAGGGGAAAGCCCGCATTCCAGGCGCTGGAAACTGCATGTGCCCCGCACGTGACAGGAGAAAGCATGGCAGGATTCAGGAACAGCATGGGGTGCACTTGGACAGACGCTGCTCAGGGTGTCTGGAAGGGGAGATAACACAGTAAAAGCTAATATTGGTCGAGCTCCTGTATGGGCCTGTTAAACATTATATATATGTATCTATATATATACACATATGTATATATATACACACATATATGTATGTGTATGTATATGTATATATATGTGTATGTGTATATGTATATATGTATATATACATATATACACACATTTGTGTGTATATATATATATATCAACTCATCTCTAATTTTTGGGAGTGGGGCAGATGATCTTGTATGCATGTGAATTTTTCTACAGCAGACTCTGAATTCTAGATACGTTTCTTTGTCTCAATATTTCTGAGCTTC